TTAACTTCTTTTTTAAGTTTGCTGAGAATTTTTATAATGAACAGATGTTTATCAAATGGTCGTCTTTAAATCTACCATCTTGCTCCTTTTGTCTGTTTGTCCCATCTATTCTTTGTCCCCTTTTCTCATCTTTTCTCCCTTTTGGATTAATTGCATATTTTTTAAGATTCCATTTTTCTTTTGTTGGCTTATTAATTATACCTCTTCGTATTTTTATTTTTAATGGTTGCTTTACAGTTCAGAGTATTCATCTTTAACTTATGACAGTCTACCTTCAAGTAATGTGTTTTCATATATATATATATATATACATATATATATATGTATCACTTCACATATATTATAAGAACCTCGGACTTCCCTGGTGGCTCAGTGGTTAAGAATCCGCCTGCCAATGCAGGGGACACGGGTTTGAGCCCTGGTCCGGGAAGATCCCACATGCCACGGAGCAGCTAAGCCCATGTGCCACAACTACTGAGCCTATGCTCTAGAGCCCGTGAGCCACAACTACTGAGCCCACGTGCCACAACTACTGAAGCCCACACGCCTGGAGCCCACGCTCTGCAACAAGAGAAGTCACCGCAACGAGAAGCCTGCGCACTGCAAAGAAGAGTAGCCCCCACTCACCTCAACTAGAGAAAGGCCGCGTGCAGCAACAAAGACCTAATGCAGTCATAAATAAATAAATAAATAAATAGCCTTATAACAGTACACTTCGATTTCCTCTCTCAGGGTCTTTGTAGTATTATTGTAATATATTTTACTTCTATGTAATATTGTAATTTTTGTTTTAAACAGTGTTATCTTTCAAAGAGATTTTTAAAATAATAAAAAGTATATTTTATATTTATCTATATATTTACCATTTTTCAGTGCTGTCACTTTTTTGTAGAACCAGGTTTCTGTCTGGTATCATTTTCCCATCAACCTGAAGGACTTCCTTTAACATTTCTTGTAGTACAGGTTTGCTGGTATTGAATTCTGCTTGCATTTTTGTGTTTGAAAAAAAAAATGTTTATTTTGCCTTCACTTTTAAAAAAATATTTTCCCTGTGTATAGAATTCTAGCTTGAGTTTTAGATTGTTTCAGTACTTTCAAGATGTTGCTGTGGTGTTTTCTGGCTTGCATTGTTTCTCACAAGAAGTCTTCTGTCATTCTTATCTGTGTTGCTCTGTACTTCACATATCTTTTTTTCCTCTTGCTGTTTTTAAGATTTTTCTATCACTTATTGTAAGTAATTTTATTATGATGTGCATTAGTTTAGTTTTGTTCTTTTTTCTTATTTATGGTATTCCTTGAGTTTCTTGGATCTGTGGGTTTATAATTTTTACCAGATTTGGAAAAGCTTTGGCCACTCATTTTTCTTTTTTTTTCTTGCTTACTGGGATATAACTGACAAACAGCACTGTGTAAGTTTAAGGTGTACAATATAATGATTTGACTTACGTACATCATGAAATGATGATCACAATAAATAGTGAAGGTCCATCATCTCATATAGATACAAAATAAAAGAAAAACATTTTTTTCTCTTGTCTTGAGATTTAAATTAGGATTTACTTTCTTAACAACTTTCATATATAACATACAGCAGTGTTAATTATATATATTAATCATGGCATACATTACATCCCTAGTACTTATTTATCTTATGACTGGAAGTTTGTACCTTTTGACCATAAACTGTACGGTTCCTTTATATCTTTAGTTGTGGAAAATCTCTTCTGCTAGTCGTTAAGTCATTCTCATCCATAATTGCTCTGAAATTAGTTGTAATTTCGGTGCACCTATGGGAAGAGGTGAGCTCAGGGTCTTCCTCCTCCACCATCTCAGTCACTGTCTCATTAGTTTTTCAGAATTTTTTTCTCTCCTTCAAGGAGCCCAATTGCATACATAAAATGTTGCTTTCAATTGGCCTGCGACTCATTGATACTCTATTCATTTATTGTCCATCTTTTTTTCTCTCTCTGTGTTTCATTTTGGATTGATTCTACTTTATATCTTTAAATTTACTATTCTTTTCTTTGCATTGTCTTACCTTCAATTAAACCCATCCATTGCATTTTTCATTTCAGATACCTTTTTTAAATTTAGGAATTGAATTTTTTTTTTTTGCGGTACACGGGCCTCTCACTGTTGTGGTCTCTCCCGTTGCGGAGCACAGGCTTCGGACGCGCAGGCTCAGCGGCCATGGCTCACGGGCCCAGCCGCTCCGCAGCATGTGGGATCCTCCTGGACCGGGGCACGAACCCGTGTCCCCTGCATCGGCAGGCGGACTCTCAACCACTGTGCCTCCAGGGAAGCCCCTAGGAATTGAATTTTTAAAAATATCTTCCATGTCTCAATATGCTCATGTTTTTTTCTTTCTTAACAACATGGAATATATCATAATAATTTTTAATATCCTTGTCTATTCCATTATCTCTATCATATCTGAATCTGTTTCTATTGATTGGTTTCTCTCATTGCAGATCATATTTTCCTGCTTTTTTGCATGCATGGTAATTGTTTATTGGATGCCAGACATTCTGAACTTGTTGGATACTGAATATTTTTACATTACTTTGAGTACTTTTGAGCTTTATTTATTCTGAGACACATTTAAGTTATTTGGGAACAGTTTGATTCTTTTGAGGCTCTTGTAAGCTTGCATAGGATCAGAATAGCCTTTATTCCAGGCCTAATTTTTTCCCCATGTAGGACAGTGCTTTGGAGTACTCCACCTGATGTCTAGTGTGTTGAGAGATTTTTCCAGTCTGACTTGTGGTCACATGAACTGTTTCTGGCCTTGTGTGATTTTGGGGGATTAGTCTACCTGCTCTTTTCCAGTGGTTCTTTTTCTGACTTCAGGTAGTTTGCTTATGTGCATGTACTGATCTGTACTCAGCTGAGGACTCAAAAGGAAAACCCTGTGGATCTCTGGAACTCTGTCTCAGTATAGTGCTCTCATTTCAGTTATCTCCTCACATGCAGCTTTTTCCTCTCTGATACTCTGCTCCACGATTCTTGCAACCCTGACCTCTCTGGATTTTCAACTGTTTCCTTAACATTATTTTTCTTAAAATATCATGACAGATTAGTATTAAGTAATAAATTATAAAGTGGCTTATTTTCAGACATGTATCTTTGGCTTACATTCTTTCTGTTAATATCATAACACTAAAGGAGCATTTATACTGGGTCTGATGGCATCAGTTAAATTTTTCTTAGAAGCAAAAGTAGATTGATAGTGGTTTTAAATTTATTTGATTGCGTAGTGGTTTTAAGTTTATGTTTGGTAAATACATTCTCAATATAGTCTATTTTTAAATTTTTATTGGAGTATAGTTGCTTTACAGTGTTGTGTCAGTTTCTACTGTACAGCAAAGTGAATCAGCTATACGTACACATAAATCTGCTCTTTTTTGACTTCCTTCCCGTTTGGGTCACCACACAGAGCACTGAGTAGAGTTCCTTGTGCTATACAGTAGGTTTTCACTAGTTATCTGTTTTATACATAGTTTCAATAGCGTATATATGTCAATGCCAATCTTCTAATTCATCCCACCCTCCTTCCCCCTTGGTGTCCATATGTTTGTTCTGTACATCTGTGTCTCTATTTCTGCTTTGCAAATAAGATCATCTATACCATTTTTCTAGATTCCACATATATGCATTAATATACAATGTTTGTTTTTCTCGTTCTGACTTATTTCACTCGGTAGATGTAGTCTCTAGGTCCATCTACATCTCTACAAATGACCCAATTTCATTCCTTTTTATGGCTGAGTAATATTCCATTGTATATATGTGTACCACGTCTTTATCCATTCATCTGTTGATGGACATTTAGGTTGCTTCCATGTCCTGGCTATTGTAAATATTGCTGCAATGGACATTGGGGTGCATATGTCTTTTTGAACTATGGTTTCTTCAGGGTATATGCCCAGTAGTGGGATTGCTCGGTCATATGGTAGTTCTATTTTTAGTTTTTTAAGGAACCTCCATATTGTTCTCCATAGTCTAGTTATTTTTAAGCTTAATGGCTATTGTTTAGTTCTTAGATGATATAAAAAACAAAAATTCAGGAGTATCAAAAGAGTTTTTTGCTGCATTATTCACTACCAAATTTAAAGAATATGCAGAATAGGGAATATAAAAATACCCTAGAAAAAATTTTAGTGCTCTACTTTTATAATCTATTTTTCTTTCCATGTGTATATGGGGCATTTTTATGTGCTTTCAGAGTAGTGTGTGTGTGTGTGTGTGTGTGTGTGTGTGTGTGTGTGTGTGTGTTATACCAAAAATATGTTTAATGTCATTATTCACATCTGCTAACATCTTAATTATTTGGGTTTTTTAATTTCAACCAAAAATAATGTGTGACATTTGGTGGTGTTTATATTTTATACAAGTATTCCGTCATAATGTTATCACATTTTCCTGTCAAATGAAAAATTTTCCATTATCGTGCTCGTTAAGTTTCTTGGATGAACTCTGAAAACTAAACATTACCTTGGTAAAAATTAAGACATATATATTAAATGTTCATTCTCATTTTTATATACTTTCTAGGCTGCAGTATCCATGTTACTTTTTCTCAAATCAGATTTTAGTTTTCAATACTTGACTCTATCATTAACAGACATTTCAAAGTCTTCATATATAGTAAGAATATCTGATGAATGCTGTTAATCTTTTCATTTTTCATACTCTTTTATATTCTTATTTTTTCACCTCCAAAGAGTGTGCATTATAGACAAAATACATAATCTTTTTCAGTAAAATAAAGAGTATTTAGTGGGTTTTGTTTGTTTTTACCATTTACCAGAATTTTGTGTGTAATGTTTTTGAAAACTTCCTATTGTATGGACTTTGGACAGTTAATTTCCACTAAGTCAGTAAATTTTTTAGCTGGTATGTTTAACTTTGGGTGGGTGAGTGGGGATTTTTGAGGTAAGTTGGGAATAATCACTTAGTGATAAAAAAAATTCAGTACCTTTCCCCTTTCTTTCGTATAGTATCAGAGGTGCAGAATCTGGGACAAGTTGCATGAAGAGCATATCAATGCAGGACGTACAGTTCAGGTAAGGCTATTTTATTGTTTCAGGTAAATCAGTATGAAAAGACAGTCTTAAAATTTTGCTAAAATATATACCCTTGTAGCTGAATCCTTTTATATGTATTTGTAACTATTTCCTTAAGGATGCATTTTTAGCAAGAATTATTGAATCAGATGTCATACATATTTTTAAGATTTTGATTCATATCACCAAAATTTTCTCCAGAAATGATACATCAACTTACACTTTCACAATGAATGCATTTTACAACACTAGTATTACTCATTCCTCAAATTTTTGCTAATTAGTAGGTTAAAATAACACTGCTTTGTCGTTTTAATCTGGATTTTTTCTTTTATTCCTTTGAAGTGTGAAAGCTTTTTATATGCACCTTGGATAGTAATGTTTTTTTAAAATTCTTTATTGTAGTATAATTGCTTTACAATGGTGTGTTCGTTTCTGCTTTATAACAAAGTGAATCAGTTATACATATGTTCCCATATCTCTTCCTTCTTGCGTCTCGCTTGCTCCCACCCTCCCTACCCCACCCCTCTAGGTGGTCACAGAGCATCAAGCTGATCTCCCTGTGCTATGCGGCTACTTCCCACAAGCTATCTATTTTACATTTGGTAGTGTATATATGCCACTCTCTCGCTTTGTCACAGCTTACCCTTCCCCCTCCCCATATCCTCAAGTCCATTCTCTAGTAGGTCTGTGTCTTTATTCCTGTCTTACCCCTAGGTTCTTCATGATATTTTTTTCTTAAATTCCATATATATCTGTTATCATAAGGTATTTGTCTTTCTCTTTCTGACTTACTTCACTCTGTATGACAGACTCTAGGTCTATCCACCTCATTACAAATAGCTCAATTTCATTTCTTTTTATGGCTAAGTAATATTCCATTGTATATATGTGCCACATCTTCTTTATCCATTCATCCGATGCTGGACACTTAGGTTGTTTCCATCTCCGGGCTATTGTAAATAGAGCTGCAATGAAGATTTTGGTATGTGACTCTTTTTGAATTATGGTTTTCTCAGGGTATATGCCCAGTAGTGGGATTGCTGGGTCATATGGTAGTTCTATTTGTAGTTTTTTAAGGAACCTCCATACTGTTCTCCATAGTGGCTGAACCAATTCACATTCCCACCAGCAGTGCAAGAGTGTTCCCTTTTCTCCACACCCTCTCCAGCATTTATTGTTTCTAGATTTTTTGATGATGGCCATTCTGACTGGTGTGAGATGATATCTCATTGTAGTTTTGATTTGCATTTCTCTAATGATTAATGATGTTGAGCATTCTTTCATGTGTTTGTTGGCAGTCTGTATATCTTCTTTGGAGAAATGTCTATTTAGGTCTTCTGCCCATTTTTGGATTGGGTTGTTTATTTTTTTGTTATTGAGCTGCATGAGCTGCCTGTAAATTTTAGAGATTAATCCTTTGTCAGTTGATTCATTTGCAAATATTTTCTCCCATTCTGAGGGCTGTCTTTTGGTCTTGTTTATGGTTTCCTTTGCTGTGCAAAAGCTTTGAAGTTTCATTAGGTCCCATTTGTTTATTTTTGTTTTTATCTCCATTACTCTAGGAGATGGGTCAAGAAGGATCTTGCTGTGATTTATGTCATAGAGTGTTCTGCCTATGTTTTCCTCTAAGAGTTTGATAGTTTCTGGCCTTACATTTAGGTCTTTAATCCATTTTGAGCTTATTTTTGTGTATGGTGTTAGGGAGTGATCTAATCTCATACTTTTACATGTACCTATCCAATTTTCCCAGCACCACTTATTGAAGAGGCTGTCCTTTCTCCACTGTATATTCCTGCCACCTTTATCAAAGATAAGGTGACCATATGTGCATGGGTTTATCTCTGGGCTTTCTATCCTATTCCATTGATCTATCTTTCTGTTTTTGTGCCAGTACCATACTGTCTTGATTACTGTAGCTTTGTAGTATAGTCTGAAGTCAGGCAGCCTGATTCCTCCAGCTCCATTTTTTGTTCTCAAGATTGCTTTGGCTATTCGGGGTCTTTTGTGTTTCCATACAAATTGTGAAATTTTTTGTTCTAGTTCTGTGAAAAATGCCAGTGGTAGTTTGATAGGGATTGCATTGAATCTATAGATTGCTTTGGGAAGTAGAGTCATTTTCACAATGTTGATTCTTCCAATCCAAGAACATGGTATATCTCTCCATCTGTTTGTATCATCTTTAATTTCTTTCATCAGTGTCTTATAATTTTCTGCATACAGGTCTTTTGTCTCCTTAGGTAGGTTTATTCCTAGATATTTTATTCTTTTTGTTGCAATGGTAAATGGGAGTGTTTTCTTGATTTCACTTTCAGATTTTTCATCATTAGTATATAGGAATGCCAGAGATTTCTGTGCATTAATTTTGTATCCTGCTACTTTACCAAATTCATTGATTAGCTCTAGTAGTTTTCTGGTAGCATCTTTAGGATTCTCTATGTATAGTATCATGTCATCTGCAAACAGTGACAGCTTTACTTCTTCTTTTCCGATTTGGATTCCTTTTATTTCCTTTTCTTCTCTGATTGCTGTGGCTAAAACTTCCAAAACTATGTTGAATAAGAGTGGTGAGAGTGGGCAACCTTGTCTTGTTCCTGACCTTAGTGGAAATGCTTTCAGTTTTTCGCCATTGAGGATGATGTTGGCTGTGGGCTTGTCATATACGGCCTTTATTATATTGAGGAAAGTTCCCTCTACACCTACTTTCTGCAGGGTTTTTATCATAAATGGGTGTTGAATTTTGTCAAAAGCTTTCTCTGCATCTATTGAGATGATCATATGGTTTTTCTCCTTCAATTTGTTAATATGGTTAATCACATTGATAGATTTGCGTATATTGAAGAATCCTTGCATTCCTGGAATAAACCCCACTTGATCATGGTGTATGATCCTTTTAATGTGCTGTTGGATTCTGTTTGCTAGTATTTTGTTGAGGATTTTTGCATCTATGTTCATCAGTGATATTGGCCTGTAGTTTTCTTTCTTTGTGACATCCTTGTCTGGTTTTGGTATCAAGGTGATGGTTTTTTTTTTTTTAACATCTTTATTGGGGTATAATTGCTTTACAATGGTGTGTTAGTTTCTGCTTTATAACAGAGTGAATCAAATAGGTGTTTACATATGTTCCCATGTCTCTTCCCTCTTTGTCTCCCTCCCTCCCACCCTCCCTATCCCACCCTGTTAGAAGATTTTAAATCACAGTTTCAGTTTCAGTGCTGTGATTGGTCTGATCATATTTTCTATTTCTTCCTGATTCAGTCTTGGCAGGTTGTGCATTTTTAAGAATTTGTCCATTTCTTCCAGGTTGTCCATTTTATTGGCATAGAGTTGCTTGTAGTAATCTCTCATGATCTTTTGTATTTCTGCAGTGTCAGTTGTTACTTCTCCTTTTTCATTTCTAATTCTATTGATTTGAGTCTTCTCCCTTTTTTTCTTGATGAGTCTGGCTAATGGTTTATGAATTTTGTTTATCTTCTCAAAGAACCAGCTTTTAGTTTTATTGATCTTTGCTGTAATTTCCTTCATTTCTTTTTCATTTATTTCTGATCTGATTTTCATGATTTCTTTCCTTCTGCTAACTTTGGCGTTTTTTTGTTATTCTTTCTCTAATTGCTTTAGGTGCAAGGTTAGGTTTTTTCTAGATGTTTCCTGTTTCTTAAGGTAGGATTGTATTGCTATAAACTTCCTTCTTAGAACTGCTTTTGCTGCATCACATAGGATTTGGTTCGTCATGTCTGCATGTCATTTGTTTCTAGGTACTTTTTTATTTCCTCTCTCTTTTTTTTTTTTTTTTTTGCGGTACATGGGCCTCTCACTGCTGTGGCCTCTCCCGTTGCGGAGCACAGGTTCCAGATGCACAGGCCCAGTGGCCATGGCTCACGGGCCCAGGTGCTTCGAGGCATGTGGGATCTTACCGGACCGGGGCACGAACCTGTGTCCCCTGCATTGGCAGGCGGACTCTCAACCACCACGCCACCAGGGAAGCCCCTTATTTCCCCTTTGATTTCTTTAGTGATCACTTTGTTATTAAGTAGTGTATTGTTTAGCCTCCATGTGTTTGTATTTTTTACAGATCTTTTCCTGTAATTGATATCTAGTCTCATAGTGTTGTGGTCGGAAAAGATACTTGATACAATTTCAATTTTCTTAAATTTACCAAGGCTTGCTTTGTGACCCAAGATATGATCTATCCTGGAGAATGTTCCATGAGCACTTGAGAAAAATGTGTATTCTGTTGTTTTTGGATGGAATGTCCTATAAATATCAATTAAGTCCATCTTGTTTAATGTATCATTTAAAGCTTGTGTTTCTTTATTTATTTTCATTTTGGATGATCTGTCCTTTGGTGAAAGTGGGGTGTTAAAGTCCCCTACGATGAATGTGTTACTGTCAATTTCCCCTTTTATGGCTGTTAGTATTTGCCTTATGTCTTGAGGTGCTCCTACGTTGGGTGCGTAAATATTTACAATTGTTATATCTTCTTCTTGGATTGGTCCCTTGATCATTATGTAGTGTCCTTCTTTGTCTCTTCTAATAGTCTTTATTTTAAAGTCTATTTTGTCTCATATGAGAATTGCTAGTCCAGCTTTCTTTTGGTTTGCATTTACATTGAATATGTTTTTCCATCCCTTTACTTTCAGTCTGTATGTGTCTCTAGGTCTGAAGTGGGTCTCTTGTAGACAGCATATATATGGGTCTTGTTTTTGTATCCATTCAGTCAGTCTGTGTCTTTTGGTGGGAGCATGTAGTCCATTTACATTTAAAGTAATTATCGATATGTATGTTCCTATTCCCATTTTCTTAATTGTTTTGGGTTTGTTATTGTAGGTCTTTTCCTTCTCTTGTGTTTCTTGCCTAGAGAAGTTCCTTTAGCATTTGTTGTAAACCTGGTTTTGTGGTGCTGAACTTTCTCAGCTTTTGCTTCTCTGTAAAGGTTTTAATTTCTCCATCATATCTGAATGAGATCCTTGGTTGCAGGTTTTTCTCCTTCATCACTTCAA